TATTGAGAATGAAACTCCACATTCATTGATTGCTTTTACTAACATTTGTTCAAAGGAGGTATCAGTAGGAATGTTCCCAGTTCTTGAGAATTCCTCGAGTGCMTCTCTTTCGCAGACCTCAAATACTAAAGTTTTTAACAGTTTATCTGTGATTCTTAAGAGGAGATGTAACTCATCTGGTATAATGTGGTCTATATCAATGTTAATTAAGGGAGGTCGAATGCATCCATAGTTTGCRGAGGCTGCTTTTTTACAGCATGATTTAATATCTTCTAGTGATCTTTGATATGATTCACCCTTATAAAAGTCTTGATCCTTTGATGTGTCCCACCTGTCTATAGCACTGACTTTACACCACAAACAAGAGTAGATGGAATTGGCAGCATTTAACCCCATAACCAATAATAAAAATTTGTAATCTCCACCTAGGAATACTTCTAGTTTGTATTCATTTCCTTTTACTTCAATTTTAGCTTGTGATATTAAGTTATTTATTTCCTGAAATAGATTTGAAAATGACTCTGAAATAGTATCATAGCTCTCTTCTCCATTGACCACTCCAACTACATTGTTACCCTTTGAGGACATTACTTTCTCCCCTTGTTGAAGAATGGAAAAAGTCRCAAGGATAAATGTGGTTGATTTTGTCATTTTAGACCCATCTCCACTAAACTTAATTTGTACTAATTCATCAGGAAAACAATCTGGATCTTCTTCTAACATTGATTCAAGCCTGTTTTTCAGCACAACACTTAAATTCAATTGTGCACCAGGGCATCTACCAGGTGTTCTCTCTATGTGTACAACTTTGTTCATGTCTTGTCTAAGTTGTTTTATTAGATAAGACTTTGGTAAACCATCTTGAATCATTGTTAGCTCATGATAAAATTCATCTGCAATGAAAAATGTATCCAGRAGGTAAAGTACTTGTTCTAGTTTCTGTTTATCCTCAATGTCAAGGTCATCATACTTCAATGTATGATTTTTGCCAGCTGAATCAACCAAATTCACTGAGTTAAGGTTGAGACCATATGTCTCACAGAACCAAAGTGCACATTGAATTGTGTTTTTAAGTTTCTTGATCTTTCTATTGGCCTGTTTTTTTCCAACCTCATTGATTTTTTTGCCTCTGCATGATTGATCATTTTGAAGTTGTTCGATGTAATCAATAAGCTGTTTATTAATTTTCTCCTTTTCAATGACTTCATCCTTGATGTTGTTCAGTTCTTCAATTAAACTTTCATATAGATCTTGTTTTTCTTTCTCTAAGTTTTCATATTTTGTCTTCCACTCTTCAATGACATAATTCAGTGTCTCAATTTGTCCTTYTAACTCAGCTACTGACTCTACTTCTATTCTCCTTATGCTAACARTACATGTTTTAGTTAGTAGCAGCTTGTTCTTTCTCCCTTTCACCTGTGAAAACAACCTCTTGACCTTTTTTCCCTCATCCTTAAAACGTTCATGAAGTCTTGCATTTTGGGGTTTTAAGCAAAACCATCCACCTGGTATCGCCAGGTTAATAAGATCAACATAGTTGAAATTTTCACATTTCTCTATGCTCACTTCTCCAAGAGTTTCATATGCAGCTTTCAGAACWGGATAGGGGATTTCAATAGCAAAAACAAACTCCTGGTCTCTAGCTCTTGATTGATTGATATAACTTAAAGGTAGATCAGCTACTTTTAGCTTTTGATTTAAGATTTTTTGCTCGTATTCTGTAAAAACATGAGCCATTTTAATCGATTTTTAGTCATAAAATGTGACCTTACATGGATTTATGTAACTGAATATCTAATGAGGTCCCTGTGTATGAATTGACTGGGGAAGCCTGGAACCGAATAGAGAACTGTTTACAACATGGCGGATAGAAGTAGCGTTTTCGCGAAGATTTCGGTCTATTTTTCAGCAAAATGTGGTTTTATTCCCTTTAAAAATGGCGTATCGCTGTTCTTGAAGATCTTGGATTTATCAGAGAATGTGGAGGCAAAAGGAACTAAGTTAATGGTAGGTTTTTAGATATAAAACGACATAATTCGACAGACAGTTATTCGAACTTTCTATAATCGGGTGACCGGAGTAAGTTTAATTGCAAAAATTCTTTTGTTGAGGTAAAGAAGAAGGGGCATTTTCGGGAAATCTGCACTTTCACAAAGGCTTTATATACACACAATATTATTTAGAACYTTTGTCAATGGAACCAGGTTACCATACTTAAATGCTTAAAAACTTCCAACCATAAGCGACTTTTATACGCGAATATCTCAAAGCTAGGTCACCGGGWCAGCTCAAAGACTTTTATATATACTAAATTATCGCTTAAAAAATAATCCCCATACATTTTATTATAAGATGGTCGTCCATTTTTAAAGGGCTCGGCGTTAAACTGCGCGTGCGCGTAAAATTCCATGTCGCAGATTTCTGGCGACTGACCTGGGAAATAGATATTATAATTCTATTGTTTTCTTTGAATTTGTCTTACTGTCAGTAAACCTTATTTCAAGGTTTCTGATTTCACTCTAGCTTGTGTAGTTTGTATAAAGATGATGTTTATAGTTAGATATTCGAGTATAGTATATCTAGAAATTGCAATGATAGTATTTTTGATGAAAAAATGATAACATTGTCTCGTATTGTACCAGGTGTTTATTCTAGCTGTTTGTATATTATTACTTCATTATTTAAAAAAAAACTATTGCTTTGAAATGCAATGCAAGATAAAAAAACTGACCCCAAATGAACATTTCTTGAAGAATTCTGATACATTTTAATTTTACACTGTGTTAACGTGTATGTATACATAAGTTTTTTCTTTGATTCTTGTCTCGGGTATTTAGAGCCGTAATTCGTGTAA